CTGAAGCTTTAAGATGTTAAATAATTTGTCCAAAGTCACAAACTTGCAGCTGACTTTTGACCAGGCAGTGTGACTAAATGCTTTTTAATACCTTTACATATATATGCTATATACTGTCTTCCTTGAAACCTGACCTAGGTTAAGTGTACCTCAACCTGATAGAATGTGAAATAAGATGTACCGCGTTGATGGACTGTAAGAAATATAAAGGAAGATATGGACACAGTACAAAATGAATAAAAACAAGAATGTGACTATACTTGCATACTATGTTTTCTTTAAGAAGTAAGTTCACTAAGCACTATAACAAAAACAGGAGCAATCCTGTCTGCATAACCTAAAGAGAGGCTAGCTGGAGGTGAAACAAATGGACTTTTTAAAAGACAAACATTTTATATGAAGTTAAATCTGTCCTTTAACTTCAAAACAATACAGTAATGTTATCAAATAACTCAGTATTATTTTAAGGTTGGAGAGGTGTCCATCTGCTGGGAGAGGAGTGGGTCCCTCTCCCTCATAACAGATTAGTCATTTAGAAATGACTGCAGGTGACAGCAGATACAAGCTATTGAAGGGCCATTTGGTGGATGGATACAGTACTCTTCTCCTATCTTGTACCACAAATGATTTACCAATAAATGCTTATGAAGGAAGAGAGGAAGAAGAAGAAAAGAGACTGATTTCCAGCCAGGATGGTCCAGGGGACTATATCCAGTTTAGACTACAGAAACAGTTCTGAGGTAACCAACCTCCTGGGGTTGGGGTTTCACTATAAGATAAACTATAAAGGGATGGAGGCACTGAACTTTATAATCCCCACATTGGCGTTTCTTTTCATTCAAAACCATTCTTGTTTGTATACTTCAAAAAATACTCGATCTCTCACATTTTAATCTTTATTTCCTAGTTCTGGAGATTCACCAGATGGTATGTGTCTAGCACTTCAAAGTGAATATTAAGTATAATATTCTTTTTTAATCTGTATTTTTAATTTTTAAAAATACAGATAAATACATAAAGAGATCACTGATCCTGATCCCTCTTCTCCTAAACACACCACTAAAATTGTGCCATTCAAAGACTGTGAATTTTAAGAGTACATTTGAAAAACAGTTAAATCAACCTGCATATTGCTATTTCTAGCAAAAAGTCTATTTACTACAGGAATGATCCTGACACTCCTCCTAAGATCACCACAATAAATTCTAACCTGTGTATCTAATTCTACTAAAACATTTAAATGGTAAACTGATATAACTACCTTTTACATTAAGATTCATGCCTGTATTGAACTATACTGAAATGTAACAACAAACATTAAAGCACCGTCTATGAAAAGCTACTTTTCACTTAAAATTTTAGACTTCAAACTGAATGAACTTAAAACTACAGGCCATGCAGTTAGTGATAACTCCTGAATAAACCAACTGTCAGAATTCTGCCATGGTTACATCAAAAGTTCATTTCATATAACCAACATGCCAGGTAAAAACCAACTACCCAATTCTTGACAGAGCTGTAATACTTCATTTCTATAAAAGAAAATCAGTAATCAATATGAGAAAATCGTCCTCATTTTTTAAATTAAAGAAAAAAAAGTGGTTTATAACTAAAGAGTTTATAATTATATTGGCCCTGAACTAGCTTAGCTGCAGGTTACAGATGAAAGCATTGGTGATTTTGAGCAACTTCAACTTAAGCCTTAATTATTCTGGAAAAAGGTAGGAAGCACCTGAGAAGGTGTAAGATGGTCTGGATGAAGAGAATGATAAAAGACTGGTTCCCTGTCTCTTTCTTTCTATATCCTCTACAAATAATTCTATTTTAAGTTTTTTTCCCTAAGAAGGGTCATTTGAAAGCAAATTTGGGGAGGCTATAAAAGCCTGGAGGCAGCAGAATAAAAAAGAAATAGTAAAAGACAATACAAACTTCTAGCAAAACCCATTAGCAATTTTGTACTAATTAAATGTAATAGCTTATTTTCCAAAACAGAAGAAAACAGTAACATAATTCTACCCCATAACCTGTACTGATTATCTCCTGTTAAATAACTATTTACACAATTATCTAGTAATGTAGAATGTGAGAAAATGGAAAATATAACATTTTCCTTCTTTAAATGTTATCCCATGGACAGGTTACTCAGAAACGAAAATATATCTAAAGCGACAGAAGTTTCTATGAAATATAGGCAAATAACTGCCTTTCCACTAATGAATATACGAAGTGACTGTGATTCTTTGAACGTTCACCTGGGTTCTCAATCATTCAAACAAATTATACCTGTCTTCTGAATGACTTCCCAGCCTCTTCTAAAGAAAAGTTTTGACTCCAGGCTCTTCAGGTGCTTCTTAATCCTTTCTTGGAAAGCTTTTTATAACAACTATACATCATTGCCCCTAAAACCAATTGTTTTTGGCTTAATAAAATATTGAATTGCTTAGGCACTGTGGATTAAGCCAGCACTAATTACCATTAGATCCAAAATGGGGCCAGCTGACAAGATTTGACTAGATATTAATAGAATTTCTTTTCTAGCTCTTTAAATGTACACTTTAAAAAGTTCCAAACTAAACTCCTGAAACACAGATTAGTCTTTACTAGTACAAAAGTACAAAAATTCATTTTTCCACGATATTATGTACTCCAAATGCTTAAAGACTGACACAATGTCTTATTTATTTCTTTTGTTCTTTTTATCATGGAGTACAGATCACATATGCAGTATATTTTAAATTAGAGCATACCAGATCGATTTATCCATTCATTCAAAATGTTTGACCACTCTTGCTAAGTACCAGGAAATACACTAGGGAATAAAACGGACACTGTCCCTCCTCTCATGGAACTGAAAGAGGATACAGATCATAAATTAGACAAACATGTAAATACAAATTGTGTTACTTATAAAGTAAGTATTGAAAGGGGTATAGTGGTTAAAAAAAGTTAATCAGGAGACAGGTTAAGATCATTCTGAGGCAACTTTAAGCCCAGACAAGAGGATAAGGAGGCAATCTCAGAAAGCACATGTCAAAGAGGAATAATGAGCTGAAAAGCCTTGAAGCAGAAAGAAAAAGCACACCTAAGAACAGAAGCAGCTGGTGTGGCTACTTAATAGCATGACAGGGGCACTATCATACATGGATGAAGGACGGTAACATGCAGATGGCTTGCTGGCCAAGTCAAGGAATATGGATTTTCTTCTGGTGTAACAGGAAGCCACTGAAGAAATTTTAAGTAAAAGGCACAAATGGATGGATGACACAAATGGATTTGTATTTTGAAAAGACCATCATGGCTATTACAGAAATACCCTGGAGAGAAGAGTGGTAAAAGAGGATATGGGGAAAATCTAGTTGGGAAGTTACTGTAATAGTCTAGGCTAGAAATGATGGTGACCTGGGCTAGAGAGTGGCAGCAGAGATGGAACAACAGTCAGGTAAGAAGTGTATTTGTGGGTAGAAATGATCAGCTTATTTAGGATTGAGTACTGGGAATGAAAGAAGAGGACTCCCTGATTTCTGACTTAGGCAACGAAGTACAATATAGTGCCATTTTTCATTAAGCTGAAGACAGGGAAGGAACAGATGGAGGAAGAACATCAATTAACAGTTCTGCTTTGGACATTTAAACTTTATTTTTCAAGAATTTTTTTAAGAAGATTTATTTACTTATGTTAGAGAGAGAGGGAGAGAAATAGTGCACACACATGCACACAAGCAGGGGGTGGAACAGAGAGACAGAATCTTTAAGCTGACTCCTCACTGAGCACAGAGGCCACTGTGGGTTCCGACCCACAACCTGGAGATTGTGATCCGAGCTGAAACAAGAGTCAGATGCTTAACTGACTGAGGCAGCCAGGTGCCCCTTGGACATTTAAAATTTAAAGATGTCTACTGAGCTATCCAAGCAGAAATGTCAAGCAGGGGGTTAAATAAAAAAAAAAACTGGGGATAGGAAATATATTAATGCTAGAAAAATGAAGAATACTGATACCATGGGTATAGATTAGATTAGATCACCTAATTTAGTAATTTTCGAATTTGAAGTGTATATATTCTAATTCAGTATGCCTTGGGAGAGGTACAGGAATCTGCCATTTCTCAAGTCCATGAGCGATTCTGAAGCAGCTGACATTCATACTACATTTTGAGGAGCACTAATTTATAGGCAGAAGAAAAGTCCAGAACTGCAAATTGGGAATTCCAAATTTAAATCTTGGGTGAAGGAAGAAGAGTCTGCAAAGGGCACTGAATAGAAACAAACAGGAAAAACTGGACAGTGGGGTACTCCAGAATTCAAATAAAAGAAGGGAGTGGTAACTGTTGAATACGGCTAAGAGTAAAATACATGGAAAAGTGACTGATGGATAGAACAATAAAATCATCAGTCATCTTGACAGGAAGGGGTACACTATCTATTTTATGAATAAATGGGAAATGCAGATAATAACCACTATTATGTAATTGTGGCTCTGAAAGGGTGTAAGTAAAAGGTCAGCATGTGCGGAAGGACAGAGGTATATCTGAGGAAATTCAGCATACTTTTTTTTTTTTTTAGAGAGCAGGAGAGGGGTTGAGGGGCAGAGGGAGAGAGAGAGAATCTTAAGCAGGCTCCACACCCAGTGCAGAGCCCAACAACCTGACTCAATCTCAGGACCCTGAGAGATCATGACCTGAGCTGAAATCAAGAGTTGGACTCCTAACCAAATGAGCCACCCAAGCACCCCCTTTATATAGCCCATTTTTTACTGGATACCTGTGATGTTTTATTAAAGTAACTATTTTAATTTTATTCCAAATAGTTATTTCTTTTTAAAAAATGCCTTACATTTCAAACTTTAAATATCACACCTATGACTACAAAAATTTTCAGTATCAATTATATACAATACCACTTTTCCCCTAAAACAAACACAGAGGACCAAAATTTCAAGTATTTCCTCTCTCCCCCAAAAAAACCCATGACTACTTAATTCTCTAGCTCTTAGTTTTATTTACCCTTGCAAGATCCTCTATTTCAGAACTGAAGTTTGTTTCTCCTTCCATCATTTCTTCCTCTTCTAATGTTCGTTCATCATCAAAATCATGAACCAGCATGTCAGCTGATGGATCAAATTCATGGTCATCTGATGTTGCTGAACCTCCTGGTAAAGAATATTTTAAAAAGTGTGGTAAACCAAATTAAATGTTATTAATATTAATTTAATGTGTATGCTATATGAAGCTGGATACAAGTCAAATAAAAGTATCAGGGAAAAGCTATGCCCATCGAGTATTATTTGTTTTCTAAAATTATTGCCCTTACACGCATCACCAACACCCCCAAAAATTCTCTAAGGGATTACTTTTTACCCATTTCACCTCTATATATTCACAGTTAAAATTACAACTAGGATGAAGGATGGGAGGAGAATATAGCTTTTAAAAAAGTATATACAGCTTTTAAAAAGAGTACTGTCATCTAACCATGAAATCTCAGTTGCAAAGAATACACGGTCATATCAAAAATAGAATGATCATTCATGTGGGAAAAATCACAATTCTTAATCATCTGATATTTAATAAACCCAATGAGCATGAACCCTTATGGCCCATGAGAATAGAGTCATGTGAAATACAAAGTCATATGAATAAATAGTCTAATGTAATAGAGCTGCAAATATTATTTTTTTAGTTCTTCCATGAAAATGTATTTTAACATATAGGTAGCTGTTTTTAACTTATTTGATTTCAGAATATAATTCTGATATAGAATATAAAAGCAAAATTTATTAAAACACTGCATACAGAACTCTTATAAAAGTCATTAAAAATACTCCAATATTGTGTAATGTGTAAGCTAATCTATTTTTAGCATGTGGCTGGGGAATACTGCTGTACTCAAAAGGGTCAAGCCTGTAATTTTAGATTGCAAGTGCTCGGCACATACATTCTATAAACTATTCCCACATTTGGTTATTGCCAAACCTGGACTTAAGTTTGCAAAAGCATTTTTTTTTTTTTTTTTTACTAATAAATAAGTTATTTAACATTTAAAAAATCAATTAGCAATTTTTCAATCAACTTAAACTGTTAAATTTATGTTAATAAAGGTTATATCATTAACTAGAATATATTATACCAATATACTCTTCCTTCAGTCCATTAAGAGAACCAGTTAGTAAAACAGAGTCAAAGGTTGATTTTTGGGAAAACAGACTATTAGGGATAAAGGGATGCCCAAGGCTCAGGAGTCTTGTCATCTCCCTCAATTTTCGGTGTAAAAACCATTTTTTGAGAGCTTATTGTGTGCCTGATACTATGGCTCAAGCACGCCGTACACATTATATCTTGTTTAATCTTTGCTCCATACATTATATACATTAAACATACATACATTATATCTTATTTAATCTTCAAATAATCCTATGAACAAAAACAAAAACTTGAGGCTCAGAGAGTTTAAGCAGCATGTTCAAACCCATAGAGCCAGTGGGGTGGCAAGGATGGAATTTAAATCCTGGGTCTGCTAATTCCAATGCCTCTGCTTTTATAATACTTTAAGCTTCCTACAAGCCCCAGCCTCAGAGACAGTAGGTATCTTGCCTCAAAGAATACTTGAAGAGAACTGATTTTTCTTAAGAAGAAGAAGAAGAAGAAAAGAGAAAGAAAAAAAATTAATTTAAGTAGGCTTTACACCCAGCATGGAGCCCAACACGGGGCTTGAACTCACAACCTGGAGATTAAGATTTGAGCTGAGATCAAGACCCAGATGCTTAACCAACTGAGCCACCCAAGGGCCTTGAAGAGAACCTATTTTTACTAAGATGTGTGAACTGCAAGCCAACTCAGGTGGTGAAACACTCAGAACTCTTTCTGTTCTTTGAAGAACACAATATTGGTATTAAATATAAAATAACTAAATACATAATTTCTAAATCAGGTACCACCTTATAACACAAATGAGTTAAAAAAAAACTATCGAAGTTTTAGAATTACTTAAAAATAAAAATATAGGGGCAACTAGGTGGCTCGGTCATTAAACATCTGCCTTCCGCCCAGGTCATGATCCCAGGATCCTGGGATCGAGTCCCGCATCAGGCTCCCTGCTCGCTTGTGTTCCCTTTCTCACTGTGTCTCTCTCTGTCAAATAAATAAATAAAAATCTATTAAAAAATAAAAATATAGGGGCGCCTGGGTGGCTCAGTGGGTTAAACCGCCACCTTCAGCTCGGGTCATGATCCCAGGGTCATGGGATCGAGTCCCGCATCAGGCTCTCTGCTCAGCAGGGAGCCTGCTTCCCTCTCTCTCTCTGCCTGCCTCTCTGTCTACTTGTGATCTCTCTCTGTCCAAAGAAATAAATAAAATCTTCAAAAAAAAAAAAAGATGAAAAAATTCCTTAAAAAAAAAAAAAAAAATATATATATATATATATATATATATATATTTCATATTACATATTAAGAAAAGCCAGGCATAATTTTATTAGGGCATCTTAGTACTGGTTGAGGGACTGGACACAAGAGTTTTGTAAGAGAGCAGTTTGAGAACCCCTAATTTAGTTGCAGTTTTGTCCCAAACATTATCCCTTCTTGAGTTTTTAATGAAAAATACTCCCAGAACTTTTCAGTTCACCCACCAATCTTCCAGGATGCTTAGTCAATAATCATGTATTCCTACAAGTGATGCTGTATTTTTCTTCTCCTTTATACGGAGGAAGATCCTAAAACCACCTCACACCACCACCCTGAATGTACTATTATCCTAATCATAATACAATTTCCTATGAATGCAAATACTGCAAAAATCTAATTATGCTTAATTCCTAACTACTTATGCATTTTCACTAACTAAAAAACAAAACAAAACTCACATGAATACACAGCATCAAGTTATTAGTATTCTATTACTGACCTAAAGTCTCCCATTTTTTGTTGTCATTTGCAAAGCCAATTATATTTAAAGTTTTGCCACCTCACCATCTCACTACATGAAATACCAAAGGGTGGGTAGACCTTTTCCCTTTCTCACTCCAATTCTTTCTCTGCATATACACCACACTGCTTCCTACTTTCAATTTCACTTCTTTTCTTGCCTTAATCTGACTTCTTGGTTTTATCTGACTTTTTTTTACCTGTTGAAACCAATTAACCATCCTATTCCTTTCTGTTAATTATTAGACATATTGTTAGGCTGTCTTCCTAGAGGTAAAAATCCCTAAATAAATTATTAGAGGGAGGGAATCTGGTGCTTTGTGTAAATAAATATTTTTCTTTAGAGTTAAGGCAAAGATCAGTTTGGTCATAAAATTACATCTTACTATGAAATTACTAAAAGGTACCTTATATCTTTTCAAAGATTCAAAAGATAAATTGTTTATAACATATCATGTGCACTTATTTAATCATTTTATTTCCTTCCCTTCCCTAAATCTTTACCCCCTCTAATGGTTACTAGTCTTCCAGGTAAAACCCTGTATTGTGCCTCCACAGGTTTACACTGGTAAAGTCTACAGACAAACCACTGAGCCTGGGTCATGTGACTATTATTAGTACCATCAATTCCAAAGTACAGATGTTACAAAGGCCACTGCCTTTTACCAGTGGACCAAAAATTTTTTTTACACAGAAGCCTCTATTCCTACTCTTTTCCCACCAACTTTTGTTAATTACCTACAATCAGTATTACTTATAAGAGCAATATATATTCCCTCTGGGCAGAAGCCTGATATTATAAACAGTACTTCAAAATCCTTAGTGTGAAAAAACAAACAAACAAACAAACTAGCATTCAGCAAGTAGTAAAGGCCATCAATGATAGTTGTATTCTTCAAGTTCCACTATTCCAGTTCAGCCTAAGCTGATTCAAATGCAAGGGAAAAATGAGAAAGCTATTTATTAATATCACTTTTAAAGTAATTACTTTTTTTGTGCCTATATATTACCTGATGAATGTCTCAAAAATCCATAAAAAAATATCTAGGGGGGACTGGGTGGCTCAGTCAGTTAAGCATCTGCCTTCAGCTCAGGTCACAATCGCAGGGTCCTGGGACTGAGCCCCAACATTGGACTCTGCTCAGCAGAGAGCCTGCTTCTCCCTCTCCCTGCTGCTCTGCCTACCTGTGATCCCTCTTTCTTCCTCTGTCAAATAAATAAAATCTTTAAAAATATATATATCTAAAAGTCTATTTGCGGTATGACAACATTAACAAAAACAACTAGAATCTATTTTTTCAATGAAAAGATATCTGTGTTTGAAAGAAAAAAAAAATTGGGAACAAGTCCATGTCCTAAAAAGGATACAATAATCTACTATTTATCTGAGGTCAGATTACTTCCAACCTCAACCATCCAGAACATATTTATAAACTAGGAAGTTAAAAAAAAATCCTTGAGTTTCAGAAATGTCACAAAGCCTAGTATACTTTATTTCCAAGCACATTAGAAAGAGTAAGACATCTGTAGTTGAAATAAATATGACAAAACTCACAGTCAATTGAGCACACTAGTCATTTAGAAGGGATCTAGAGATATTCTAGAATAGCTCCTACTTAATTCATTGTACTACACAGAGTACAGTGAGTTGTGTTCATGAAAAGGACCCCAAACCATTAAAAATGGCATATATTAACCATTTTTACAAACATTCTTTCCAAAACTTACAACATAGGAAGATTGCTTCAATAATCTGGAAAATTCAGTAACACATCGTACCTAAATATTTAATATGTTTTCAAATAAAACATTACCATGTCTCAGAGAACTCCCTTTCTGACTCTTATGCTATACTGAGCTGTTCCTTAATTCACGTACTCCATTACAGAAGGCAGTCCTCTCTCTTGAAGTCCCTGCACACTGAGGCAAAGACTGGACTCTTTCCTGACTGCTCTTTAGTTCCAACCAATTGTTGATATACAGGAATGTTATACTCAGTAGTGCCAGAACCTCTAATTGTGAGAAGCCTAAATACTGATTTTATATAAAACATCCTAATTTTTTTTTTAAAGATTTTATTTATTTATTTGGCAGACAGAGACCACAAGTAGGCAGAGAGGCAGGGAGAAAGAGAGGGGGAAGCAGGCTCCCTGCTGAACACAGAGCCCGATGCGGGGCTCAATCCCAGGACCCTGAGACCATGATCTGAGCTGAAGGCAGAGGCTTAACCCACTGAGCCACCCCAGGCACCCCAACACATCCTAATTTTTAAGATCACTGCAACTGGCCACACAAAAAACATTTGTGGCCCAGATACGGTTCAAGTATCACATGTTTGCAACCTCTAAGTTAAGAAAAAGTGAATCTGTACCATATTTGTAAGAGAACACGAAACTCCAACACTATACGGTTTGAATCTAAACATAACCTTAATTTACAACTTTAAATATTCATTTTTGAATGTTCTTGTTTTACTTTCTCCCTCATTAAATGCATTAATTTTTTTCTCAAATACTTTGACTTTCCTCCACAAGTAAATACTTCTAAGTAGTGACTCCTTTTGAAAAAATACACTTTATATATACTTGAAATCAAATAGCAATTAAAACCTGTAAGAAATACACATAGTAATTCATAAAAAAATGAACCCACAAATAGTCACGAGGTTGAACTCACAGCAGCCTCACCTGTACTTTCATGGGCAGTCAAATATTTCATCCATTTCTTTTTCCCCAGAGAAAAGAAGCATTCAGAAGAAAAGCAAGTCAGATGATAGTCTAACTCTTCTAAGCCTTTTTATAACTCATAGGACAAATGTTAGTCAAATAGAGATTACAGAAAACATAGAAAATACTTACCTGGACTTGAAGACTCAACAGATGGCTGGGGGAGGGGAAGAAAAGAAGAAAAATGATCATCTTTATGTAGTAGATCTTTACAAAATTTACAGAATTATTCAATGACAAGCATGATACCAAAAACCACAGTAAGTTTTAATGTATGAATTGTCCAAGAAAAATTAAAACCTTCCATATAATCCTTTCTCTGACATTATGTTTATTTAAACATAGAGAAAAATTTCAAACACTCCTGAATCTAGAAGCAAAGACGATAAGGAATTGATTCAGATTTTGAAGGCAAATATGGGTCTCATAACATTCGTAGTTTAAGAGATCTGATTTGAGATCTTGGAACTTTCTAAAATATTTTTTCCATTGAAGACAGAGGAAATTATACACAAGGTTTGCTATCAAACTGGTCTCTGGCTTAAAATGTGTGGGAGAAGGGAGGCCAAAACACTTTTAAGACATTATTTTAAGTAAAAGTTATATTTTAAGAAAGCAAAAGGGAAAAGTAAAATGTTATTAAGCACTGAACAGTACACTAGGTTAACTTTACTCACAGACAACATATTTTTAAATCATTACAGAATTAGTAAGCTTCAAGCTGAAGTCTAGAGAGGTTATCTGATGGAAAAATTACAAACAGTCCCAATGACAACGCTGCTTCTACTGTAGCATTCTACTCCTCATGTATTTAACTGTAAGCATTCAGAAAATTTAAAGATAAAATTGGTAGCTAGCAACTTATTTTAGTAGTATCACCACTTGACAATTCGTGGCTCTATTTTATCTAAATTTACAAACAAATCATCTACAAACACACTTCTATAAATAACAAAAACTAAATATGCTTCAAGTGACATACACTCATAATTAAAACCTTTCCTATTCATTCAGAGCTACTTCGTGCCCATTAAATGTCAAAGATGCTGGAAGGCCAAAAGCACTGGCAAAGAGGTAGGGTTATTCTAGTACATAGCTTCCAACATTGATGGCTCAACTTAACGGTTTTTCGACTTTACCGCAGGGCAAAAGCAATACGCGTTCAGTAGAAACTGAACTTCAAATTTTGATCTTTTGCCGGGCTGGCAATATGTGATATGACACTACCTTGTGATGCTGGGCACTGGCAGTAAGCTGCAGCTCCCAGTCAGGCATGCGATTACGAGGGTAAACAACAACCAATACATTTATAACCATTGTGTACCCACACAACCTTTCTGTTGTTTGCTTTCAGTCTAGTATTCAATAAATTACATGAGATATTCAACATTTTATTATAAAATAGGCTTTGTGTTAGACGATTCTACCCAATTGTAGGCTAATGTAAGTTTTCTCAGCATGTTTGAGATATGCTAGCCTAAGCTAAGATGTTCATTCAGTAGGTTAGGTACATTAAATCAATTTTGACTTAATACTTTTTTTCTTTTTTAAAGATTTTATTTATTTGACAGAGAGAGAGATCACAAGCAGGCAGAGAGGTAGGCAGAGAGAGCAGGGGAAGCAGCCTCCCCGCTGAGCAGAGAACCCAATGTCGGGCTCAATCCCAGAACCATGGGATCATGACCTGAGCTGAAGGCAGAGACTTAACCCACTGAGCCACCCAGGCACCCCTTTAATGATACTTGGAACTTATGACAGGCTTATCAGGACATAACCCCATCACAAGTCGAGGAAGATCAGTATTTTCCCTCTTTCTGCTAAGGGGGCAGAGAGCCAAGAAAAACAAAATAAAATGAGGAAAGTGCCTAATTTTTCAAAAGTAGGCATCTTAGACAAATTTCTTATGAGATATTAAAACTCCATTTTGAAAAGTGTCTACATTATGGTATTTTACTAAGTATGACATTCTAGATTGTACATGATAACTTAGATTCTTTTGAAGCACACTTTTCCAAGGGTCCTATTTCTTTTTCCTTCTAATGCTTAAAATGATTCTGGACTATAACATCAACTACTTTTAACAGAAAACAGTATTCAGTATTATATATCTTCAAGTGTCACACCACTACCTTTACTTAAAAGTTACTTTGCCATAATAGAGTCCAAACAGTGCTACTTTTTAATTCTATTCCTCCAATAGGAAGCTGGAGAGCAGGGTGATAGAGTAATGTAACTATAAAAAGGGTTTCTAGGTTGCTTAACATCTTTTGGGCAGAGCTACATATTTCCAGCTCAAAATGGATTTAACCACCAGACAAATTATTACAGAGCAAATCAATATTTTGAAGTGTTAATCCACTTTTATGTCATGCAATTATACTTTATTTCCCAAGTTTAAGAACAATCTCTGCCCAAGGCTACAGCAATGATGACTATCTTCATCTGGTCCCAGGTTTGCCATCCACAAGTAGCCTCAGAGTGCTGTTTTTCCTTTTTAGTAAACTTTCAAAATGATTTACAAGGCAGAAACAAGAAAAACCAGCATTTCTTTCAAATTAGGAGTTTAAAAGAAATGGCTCTTTGGACATCAAGGTTTTTTTTTTAAGCACTCTAATAATTATTCCACTTAACAGTCTTATAAAAAAGGAGTTCCTGATTAGAAATATTACCCTATAGAAGAATAAAAGACACATTTTCACAGATGTCAGATATTGGCAATAATGAAGATACTGGATGCTGAATGGTGTCTATAGTTTGTAAAAGGCCTCAAACAGCACTAAATGCCAGTACCATACTGACTGTTGTTTTATGGATAAAGTTATCTATCACTTTAATAAGTTCTGAAAAAGATCCCAAATATTCTCCAGTAATTAAGATACCAAATGTTTACAGGACCAGTAGCATTTGTAAGCTTAGCTGGCATAAAGTGGAACACCCATTATTCAAAAATGGCATTAGTCATTTTACGTCAGAAATACTGGAAGGTTTCAAGAACTGTGTTTGACTGACGCAGACCCAGATTAGGGTGGGGAGGGGAAGTGGGATTGTTTGCCTCTAGACATGTATTTTAGTATTCTATGTGCAAAATAAAATTCCATTATTTCAGTTTGGGGAGGATGAGAGTGATTAGTTTCTTGAAAGTTAATTCTATTCAATTAAATTAAAAATAAAACTTCTAGAAACCTGGCATTTGAAAACAGTTTATACTATAAACATTACCTTTGCCCAGCTAACAGACAAAACAATTATTTTCCAAAATAAGAGTTTAGTATCATAATACAGGAAATTTCAGTATGAAATGAGAACACTTTTTATTTAGGTATTTAAGAGAAGAGCAGAACCAGCTTACAATGATACAGTACTACATTTTTTCAAATGAGTAAGTTACTTGATCATAACTATATACCTGGCAATAACATCTGCTCTGCCTACTTATTTTATAGATTAGCAAACCCAAGGAGAGATAGTGACTTGATCAAGCTTCCATGGTAGGTGGTGAAGGTGGAACTGAAATCTAGGACCTGAATGCTTCCATATGTTCCAAGGAAACAAATATATTAAAAATGTTTTCTCTTTACCTCTCTCCTTTCTCTCCTTCCTCCCCCTTAATTTCTCTTTTTTTAAAATGGCTTTCATCTGTTCAAAGCATATTTAAAATGTGACTGCAAGTTGTCATCTGTCATGTCAGACTATTATTTATGTCTTGTAAGAAACTGGTATCTCTAACAATACTCTCCAGGAAAATCTGAAACAAGTACCATTAATGACACAGTAAACTGAAAGGGGGAAGGAGGGGAAAAATAAAACTAAAGGTGTTAAGCAGGTATTCATTTGTAACAGTATCTATTTTAGAAAAAGCACAAACTATAAAATGCAAGTAGTAAAGATTTTTCATTGGAGATTAAAATGTATTTAAAATGGACTCATACTGGGTGCCTGGGTGGCTCAGTTGGTTAAGCAACTGCCTTTGGCTCAGGTCATGGTCCTAGAGTCCCAGGATTGAGTTCCACATTGGGCTCCCAGCTCAGCAGGGAATCTGCTTTTCCCTCTGACCCACTCCCTTCTCATGCTCTCCCCCACTCTTTCTCAAATAAATGAATAAAATCTTTAAAAAAATAAAAACAGGGCGCCTGGGTGGCTCAGTGGGTTGGGCCTCTGCCTTGGGCTTGGGTTGTGATCTCACGGTTCTGGGATGGAGCCCCGCCTCAGGGTCTCTGCTCAGCAGGGATCCTGTTTCCCCCTCTCTCTGCCTGCCTCTCTGCCTACTTGTGATCTCTCTGTCAAATAAATAAATAAAATCTTTAAAAATAAATAAATAAATAAAAATAAAATACACTCACACATTATCAGTAGAAAAACGAGTTTGTTTAACCATTCTAGTGATCATTTTGCTAATATAAAACTACCCTACTGATATGCCTAAAAAAGCATACCAAGATATATCTATAAGTCATTACCATAAAGTGGTTCATAGCAAAAGGTTGGAAAAAAATTTTAATGTCTATCATTTAACTAGTTAGAAATGAAATACAAGTCTTCCAAATAGTTAAACACATTAATCCACTAAAAAGAATGAGACAAAAATCTGTGCAGAATGAGAAAAAGATATAAAAACCATATATACATATTTACTTATGCATATATTAGAAATGGGAAAAAAAAGGTATAGAGGAGGGAGTAAACTGGACTGGAATACACATGAAAACTTTTTTCTCCAAAAGTATATACAAGAATCTGTTAATAGTAATTACTCTAGGAAACAGGTAGGAGAGTGAAGGGTTTGGTTTTTGTTTTTTGTTTTGTTTTGTTTTGTTTTTTTCATTTTATACCTTTCTACACTGTTGGAATTTTCTAGCCACTTGTTAGCATTACTGTTTTGTTTTTTAAAGAAAGTCAGTGGAGATTATCCTGTGGAATTATTGGTTATTATTAGCTATTTTCATTTTCTTCCTCTACTTCTAGATTTTTAAGAAAACTTAGTACTTGCCACTTTTTTTTAAAACAAGTATGTAATTTAGAAAAATAACCTAGTTTTCTTTTAGGTGCATACATAAATATCTGAGATGGAAAACATAACACTAGACAGTTACACAAAGTTATGAGTAGGCAAATCAAACTAAAAAATGAAATTGTTAACTTCTATACCTTCACCCATAT